AAATAAAAAAAGGAAAAGAAAAGCGACACTTTTTGGAAAGAGAATAAAATTAAAACAGATCGAAAGCAAAAATTACTACACAGTGTCTCTTTTCTATCATTTACTTTTATTTTACACTTTTTATTTGCCTTCTTTAACTTTTTTCTATTTTATGTTTACTACACAATGTAAATTTAATATTTTTACTGTGTAATGTTACTAGTACTATTCACATTTAAGTTTTAGATGCTTTAGTAGTTACAACTAAATTTAATTTATATTATCTTTTTTAGGAAATCCAAGGTTATTGTTGGTACTTGAACTTAAATGTGTGTGTGTGTGTGTGTATATATATAAGCTTCGACGGCTTGTGTTGCCGAGGCCTCGCCATGGCGATTCGCCTCGCCTTGTGGCGAGGCAATGGGCCAATCGCCTCGCCTCGCCATTCGCCATTTAAAACTATGATGCTGTGTTATGATACAATAATCAAATGCGTGGTTAAATTACCATTGCTTATAAGATGCCAATATTGCTAAAATTCATATAATAAACTGTGCAATCGCAAGTGAATGAGATGCACCTTCTTAAACATCACAGTGTAGTGGTTATTCACACAAGTTCCTTCAGGAAATATAAGAAGAGGATTATTATCAGCCCCATGGACATGTTCCCTTAGCCTGCAAACAAACAAAAAAATATACCAATATAAAGAAAATTGTACAATTTGAAATATATTGATAGAGCCTTAGATTATGATCCAAAAATAACATACTTTCTTGCAACAATTTCACGATCTTTGGACTCTGATCGATTGAACCATATGCACCCTAGACTTTCCAAAATAGTGCTCTGCAATAGTCCTGAGCGGATATAGCATTATAGCATTAGCAAAACCAAATACAAGAGAAACACCTCATCTGACACCATCCCAGCTGAAACGCGTTGAATAAGATTGTAGTCATCGAACTCCTAAATTTTCCACCACCACCCAACCAGATCAAACGCATTGAATAAGATTGTAATCATCAAACTCCTCCCAACTTTTCCACTACAACCCAAGCAACATGACCATAAAAACATCTCAAATCTAATCAACAGAGGATTTTTTTTTTTTTTTTTTTTGGTGAAAATCAATCGTATAAAATTCAGCAACTCAAACCAAACAATCAGTTGCTTAAATTCCTGTACAATGATGCATAATCCAACTCACCACACATAAACATGCCTACAAATATTAACTATAAAAGGGAATAAGACCACAGAGAAGCATAATACAACATTTGTTGTGCCTCAAATATGGGGAAAAAGAAATGAAGAAACGCTTCAACGGTATCAGTCTCCATTAATGGTTAATGAAACTTACCAACCCACCCAGGATGCTTCTGCATGATTACTGCAAACGCGGTCATTTGTTCCAAAACAATGAAATCAATCATGGATGTGTGATTAGCCACAAAAACCTGCAGAGAGCATTAGGATAAGAAAAAAAAAAAGCGATAAAAAAGAAAAGAAAAGGATTTCAACCACAACACAATCCCACCTGCTTAGGCCGGATGCTTGGACGTGGACCGTGGTACTTGACAACCCCAGTCCACGATGCAACAAAAAAGCTGCAAATCAACTCCACTAGACCTCTCTGAAAAGGAAATAAACAGCAAAAGATAGTTAAAGAAGGCGGCTAATCTCTGACTTACAAGACATAACTGTCGTAATTAAAAAAAATATTAGTAATTATCCGTAAAATTATTGTTTTTCGCTTTTTCTTCGACTCCCCACCTCAAAAATTCTATTACTACCCCCAAGAAATTCCATTATTATATATCTTCGATTCATAATGGAGTCGGAACCCGACTCTTCTCCAAGTCATAAGACAACTGCTCGCGGAAAGAGGAACCACAATTCTGATGTTTACAAATCTAAGCACGTGCCATACTCTACATGAAGAAAGTGTAGCGAAAAGTAATAAAATCACAGATTGATACAAAAATTTAATCAATCATACCTCTAACTTTTTCCTCAATTTATCATGCCCTTTCAACAGGAAATGCACAGGAAAATAGCACGAGAGAAATACAATCCACCCTAATGTCAACACAGCCACCCTGCGTTCAAAATGACCAACATGCATGAAAGGCGTGAGAGGAGTCGATTCTTGGAGGAAGAATAGTCCTCCCATTTCACTCCCCTGTCTGAATTGAATTAGGCAGAAGATATGTGATGTGAAAAAAACTCACCTCAATGGGAAAAGAAATCCATATCTGACAACAACTCCCAAGCACCACAAAGGAAATAAGTATATGTTCCAGTTCCATGGCTCTGGAGGATTAGACTTGAAGCATCTTGTGAAAGAGTCCTGCCATGCAGCAAGAATAAAAGACGTCGGTTATGTTTCTTAAGGGCAAGAATCTTGATCCGGGCCAGCCACTGGCAGGAATAACAGTTAGTACACCAGAAAAAAAAAAGTAAAGCACCACACAAATACAACATAAAAGGGTAGGTAATGGGCATGTCAAAGTAAACACAATAACAGATCATCATATCCATTACTTACAAAACTAATAACTGTCATTTATAACTTTAACATCTTCACTCAAGCCGTAGATCAGCTAGAAAAACAGTTCAACAGTAACAACCGACAAATCGAGAAATTGCTCTATCTACTGAAGTGCCATTCCGATTATCACTATCACACTGACAAACAACCCTGCATCTACAAATTAACCTTCAAAAACCCACAACATAACAAAAGAAAGATCAACGAGGAGCTCACATCAACAATGGCACCAGCCGCCTCTGTTAGAGTCGGAGATATATCGAGCAAATCACGCCTACATAAACAAACAAACAAACGAAAAAAGATGAAATTACTCAACCGCAAACGCAAACAAACGGTACAACGACCCCTTTCACACGCAGACATAAGGATAGATCGAGAGATAGAGGGTGAAATTTACAGGCGGAGCTTGCCGTGGGGCTCTTGAATGGATCCAGAAGGAAGATAGTCTTCGATGTTGGGTCGATCCAAATCCAATTCGGAGCTGGATGCGTTGAGCTTGCTCATTGTCCTCGCGATTTGTGATTGCTGCTAAGCAAAAACATGCATCAGTGTGTGTGTCGTCTGCGTGTTTTGTGAGTTCTGTTTCCCAATTCTTCTGTCTGTTTATCGGGTCGGGTTGTTGAATATTTATTTTGCTTGCAATTCAATACGGGCGTAGAGAGCTGTCTTTGAACGAATCACTTCCACTATCCTCTCTATATATAATTCTCGAATGTCCTCCATATATAATTTCTGAATGCGCTGAGCTTACGTGGCTGCTTCTGGTGTTTCGAAATTCTATTTGGCGAAGAACTATGCTTCGTAATTAGGTTTGGATAAATAATATTGATATACTAATAATTAATTAATAAATGGATAAATAATATTGATATACTAATAATTAATTAATAATCTAGGTTCGGGTATTCCATAAATAGCTAACTTAGGTATTTAATATCACTTTTACTAATATAACCCTTTAATTTTTTGTAATTTTACAAGTGAAGTATATCCCTGAATTTGAATTTTGATTTGTTTCCTTCAACAAGCTATTGAATTATAAATGTATTGTAAAAGTTGATAACTTTTGTATTTCTTATCGGTTTTACATATATAATATATCAAATTAATCATCTTTTGATGATCTTCGATTTGACATCCATATTGTATATACGAAATAAAAAAATTATATATATCTTTATAATAATAATAAATAATAATATTTATTAAAATTCATTAGAAAAATAAAATTATTTCCCAATTAATATATTTATATGTAATGTAGTTATATATTGTAAGTTAAAAAAAATAAGTATAATATAACACAAGTAAGTTGCACAAATAAAAAGTGTCATAATAAATATATAATAATATATATTCTTATAAAAGGTATTTAAATTTTCAACTACTTTTTCTCATTAATTTTAAATTTTAAGAAAAAAATTAGCAAGCACTCGTGTAATACACGGGTGTTGTACTAGTATATATAATTGCGGAATGGGTTGAGCCTAAGTGGCAGCCTCGCACGCTTCAGAATCCTACTTGGCGAAAAAACATGCTTCGTAGTTTGGTTTGGATAAAAAATAACATTATTCTAAATAATAATTACAGGTTCGGACATTCCAAAAATATTGAAAAAACTAACTTGATAATTTCATAATAGTTTGACTAATATAACTCTTATGTTGTATAAGAACCTTTGGTAATTATACTGATTGACTAATATAACCTTGATTTTTTTGGAAGCTCTCAATCGGCTCATTAATTTCTATGAAAACCTCAAATTAGCCTAATAAAACATATATCTAATTTTAGACAATTATTGTTATTATTATTTAATTTTAAGAATCATTTTTTAACAATTACCCGTGTAGTACACGGGAGTATTGTACTAGTAAAGTTAGTAATCACTAATCAAGCTCGTTCTACAATATTAACGAGTTTGAAAATACGGCATAAAAATTAATATTTTTCATTCTTATCGAGTTCAAGTCTTAAAGTAATCTAATCTAATTAAATTCATAAACGACTTGTTTTGTTTAATAATTTTAGATTTAGATTGATCAATCTAAAAAAATTAACTAGCAAGGCAATTGAATATATGAATACAATTGATCGATCAGTCAATCTACAAGCTGTTACAATCTCACTAAGTGAGTCGGCTATATAGAACGCATATCGTGCTCGACCAAATTGCAAATAGAATAATAAAATAAAATATTATAGTTATTTGGGTGATAGTAATATAAAAATAATAATTTTTTT